CGAGAAGTGCAAAAACGCATAATCGCACCGGCCCGCCTGGTGCGTTCCAGCCTGGGTTTTTTACTTAATTCAGTTTGCGGAATTAATACTAAATGTGTTGCAGGCGAAACATCGTTTGAAAGCAGTAATGGCAAGACAGTTCTTGCACCCAAATGTCAACAGTGGAACACCGCTGATGATGGTAAATTTTGGTTTGCTCACAGTTTCTTTATTCTAAACGCTACATGAAATACAACCCAAATGCATGAAAAATGCAGGGGAATGCAGTTCTAAGACAAATGAATGTATTATTGGCATCTTGCTGCGTTTAAGATTCAGTGGAATGGCTTCATTCACAAAATTTAGAAATTCTTTTTCACTTAATAGCATGCTTTTTTGAGTGATGTCCTCAGTGAACTCCTAGTTGATGAGGTATTTCATCAAGATCTAGTTGTGACGTCGCTTCAGACGAGATCGAGATGTGCAACACACACACACATATGCATACAGACACATACACACATGCATACAGACACATACACACACCAGTGACATTTCGAAATGGCTAAAGCTTTGTCAAATGCTTCGAGTGGTAGAACTGATAAACGGATAATGGCCCAGGGATAAATTTTAGTATTGTCAACGGGCTGGCCATTAATTTATGTAGTACTAGTGAAAGCATATTATAAAAGTTGTCGGCGGCATAGCTGGAGAACTAGGCCATCAAATGCAGCTACATCTAATTGCCCCCAGTTGGAAAACGATAAGGAAGTTCGAAAGAATTAGTGGTCTGGTTGTTTTCTTATAGTTACAAACTGTTAACTTAAATCACTGTTCTTTACTCAACATGGTTTCTTGTTAATAGCGGCTGAGGGAAGAACTAAATTTTGATATTATTATTACATTATTACAATATAGTAAATCACAGTACTCAACTGAAATGGATTTAACTGAACTCAAATTTATCACCTTTGCAGCTAAAGAAATCTTCACTACACTAATGTCAATGAAATGCTTGAAAGTACTCAATCTGTCAGGGAACTATATCGGTCTTGACGCATACAGAAAGATTGCTGAAGCACTGGTTTCACGCTCAAAGCAAAAGGTAGCATTGTTTTTCACCATGCTTTGCCAGTTTCCGGTGTGTTTCCTTCAGTAAAAAGAATAAGGCATGTGATTTCATGAAAACCGATTTTGCTGCTTTTAATCTTTTGTGTTTTATTAGTTTCAAATTTGCTTTTAATATTTCGTGTTTTATTAGTTTAAAA